TAATGAGGCTTGGCTAGAAAATCCCTTTAAAGATTAATTTAGTGTAGACCTTTTTAATCATTAGTTATTTTTAACTGAGAACAAAGTCCAAGTCCATGAGGAGCTATACTTAGTGGGGTAGCTGCATCTGATTCCATTCTCATTTGTTAAACTCCTCTCTCACGATCTAAGCTTTTCTGTTATTGAAGTTTCTTTGAACTCATAAATTAAAATTTGAAGACATAAATTATAATTAGATATTATTTTTAGAGATTTTTCTTGTGAGGTTTCTCTCAGTTTGAAGTTAGCAGTATTAGAGCATGTTTGATGGAGTTTTTTAGAACTTTTATTTTTTTTGTATTGTTTATGAGTGATAAGTTTAAATTTTTATTAGAAAAAAAATTTAAAAATTACTTTTAAAAATAAAAAAAATGAGTAAAAAGTGAGTAAAAAAACAATTTATAAAAAAGTAAAAGTTTGAAGCTTTTCAAAAGTTATTATTTAAATTCTTTTTAAGGTTAAAAAAACTAAAAAATATAAGTTTTTAGGATGAAAATTTAAACTTATGAAATATAAATAGTGTCAAAAAGTTGAAATACTTACAAGTTTCACCAAATATGCTCCTAATGGCTTTTTTATGTAATACATCTTTTACAAACTAAGTGATTATTTTCTTTTGTTGGAAGTAAGAGATTATGAGTTCGAATCGTATGGCATGCAGGTAGGGTAGGATAAAGAATGAAAGATAATTACTTCTCATTATACAACCAAGGTAAAAAATAATAATTTAAAATTGTAAAAAAAAAAGAATTTGAGAATAATTGCTGATATTAAGAGATTTACTCTCTATTTAAGGATTAATTTAGTACAATTTGATGTAATTAAATTGTATTAATTATTTTTTATATATTTCTACACACTCTAAAAACAAGTCTTTTAACAATTTAAAAAGTGCACCAAGTATTAATTTAATACATTTAAAAAAGTTACTTATTCATTTTATGACTTTGAACCCAACTTATAAAACAAAAAAAAAAAGATTTTTTTAAGAGTAGAGGTGAAGAAAATTTTTTAATTATAAATTTATATAAAAAATATAAAAATTAATATTAATTTAAGTATTAATATTAAATAAGTAAATTTAATTAAATAATTGATAATTTAAATGTTAATTTTTATTTTTTAATATAAACTTATAATAAAAAATGTATTTAATATATCTTAATTTATACTTTAAATATACAAATTAGAAAAAAGAAAAAAGAAAAAGAAAAGGAAAAAGAAGAGAGACTTACAAAACAAAGTTACCGACTAGCAAATCCAAAGCTTCGAGTTGCAATCAAAGTTGATGAATTGATGAACAATCTATGTTAAATTTGATGATTCCATGTAAGGGAAGATAATGCTAAATCGGTTATGTAAATGTTTGGAATTGTCCGTTTGTCACAGTGCGTCCATGTTCATCATACGTGTCTGATGAGAATTTCTATCGTTTCC